GCGTTATTTCAGCTTTGTCGATTTTGGCTCCAAAATCGATGCCAATCTAATGGTGTCCCTTGAAACTTGGTTACAACTAGATTGGGTAACTTGACTTTGCTAAGATTTCCTTTGCTTGATTTACTTTCTTCCATAAGTTTCTTTTCATAATGTTTCACTTGCATTTTCGCTTCCTCGAGTTTTAATTCTTCTTCGAAATGCTGTCTTCGTTTATTATCTTCTCTCAGTTCATCTTCTTCCATAGCTTTCGCCTGTAACTTTTCCACATCACCATGTAACTCAGCCATAACTTGTTCATACTTCGCAATCTTTTCTTCAATCTCAAGCGTCCATTGTGTAACATCTTCTGGGTTTTCACCATTCTCGATTTTCGCTGTTTGTATTACTGCGGATTCAGGTAGACCGTGAAATGCGATAGTTGTCACGTTAGTTTTAACGGTTGCACGGTGACGTTTCTAGGCAGATTTTCAGACGTTTCTAAGGCGTGGCTTCAATGTTTATTTTCAAAATTTAAACGTAATTACAACGGTGGAATTTTGAAAATAAACATTGAAGCCACGCCTTAGAAACGTCTGAAAATCTGCCTAGAAACGTCATCGTGCAACCGTTAAAACTAACGTGACAACTATTCGCATTTCACGGTCTACCTGAATCCGCAGTAAGACTTTTTGCTCGTGAATACTGTCGATTAACTCGCTAAATACTTTCTCTTGTCGCTTTAAACTCTTCAGTTCGGGTTTTTTTCTCTTGGATTCTCGGTGTATCATTTCGCGTAAATTCAAGCATACGTAGCTTCGCTTCGATCTTGTTTAACATTTGTTTTACATCCGTCATCTTGAATTTATATTTTCCGATGGGTTAAAGATTGGTAAAGAAAGCTACGAGATAATAACAAACACATTAAGAGATAACTTTACATCTCGGCTCTCATTAAAGGTGCTATAGATCGGGAGAATTTAGACGTTATATTTGCCAAAAGTAAACTGCCTCTGGGATCTCGAAAAATTATTGACTACCACTTGGATTTGCTATGCAATGAATTGCCGTTATCAAAGCCTAAACCACAACGAACCGATCCCACAAGTGAAGAAAGTTCAGCTGACTCAAAGCCAAAGGTAAGACACTGTTTCACGCAAAATTCATGTAAATATAAATCGACGAGCTAGAAATTTGTTCTGCGTGTTTACGCTTCTTTCTCTGACAATTGCGAGAATGCTTTCTTGATTTAATTTTATGTCGGTCGCTTGTTTTGGTCTGGGAAATTTTTATATTGTTTTTTTTTCATCGCCATCGGCTTCAAAATAACATGTATTTTCGGGGTTGATATTCTCATCATTTATAGTGGAAAGATTCCGCCGGAAGTGACAAATGACTCAGAGCAACTCCGTATCTAACCTGAGTATACTTGTCAAATGTATTAAAATCAATATTGGCAAATGACAACGGAGATGTGGCCTTACATGGAATTCAAGAATACGAACAGTCTATAAATGACAACAATGACAATGTACAGAATCAAAATGCATTCAATCTCAACGTAAACATGAACTTGTCGCCAGTCAATGACAATGGCAGAAATGATGAGAATATCAACCCCGAAAATACATGTTATTTTGAAGCTGATGACGATGGAAAAAAAAACAATATAAAAATTTCCCAGACCAAGAGGCAAGACAAGTGACCGACATAAAACTAAATCAAGAAAGCATTCTCGCAATCATCAGAGAAAGAAGCGTAAACACGCAGAACAAATTTCCAGCTCGTCGATTTATATTTACATGAATTTTGCGTGAAACAGTGTCTTACCTTTGGCTTCGAGTCAGCTGAACTTTCTTCATCTGCGGGATCGCTTCGCTGTGGTTTAGGCTTTGATAACGGCTATTCATTGCGTAGCAAATCCAAGTGGTAGTCAAGAATTTTTCGAGATCCCAGAGGCAGTTTACTTTTGGCAAATATAACGTCTAAATTTTCTGGATCTAGCGGCTTTAATGAGAGCCGAGATGTAAAGTTCTCTCTTAATGTGTTTGTTATTATCTCGTAGCTTTCTTTACCAATCTTTTGTTCGATATTTCCTAAGAAATCCGTCAGTTCTTCGCACGCCATTACATATGTCACACCATGCGTCGATTGAACTTCGGAAGTTCGTTTCGAAGTTCGGAAGTTCGTTTCGAAGTTCGGAAGTTCGCTGCGAAGTTCCAGCCCAACTTCCGAACTTCGAAACGTAATTGGGAACTTGGGAACGAACTTCGCAACTGCGTCTTGAAAAGTGAACTGAAATTGACTGTAATAGATGTATATAGCAATATATTCGTAATAAAATGTCTTTTGTGTATATCAGAAAAATTAGGTTTTTGTACTGTATATATTGCTATTATTCTTTTGCTTGATTCATGCATGGAGGCTACTATCTGCCGCAAAAAGGACAGCCCATGCATGACATGCATGTGTATTGAGTCCCGAGGGAGAGGATTTTTTACATTCACCTGATAATTTTTGTACTTTACTACCTATACCCATTCTCCTAGTTTTCAATAAAAACGATGAACTAGCTACATTCAAAGATAAATCACAGACAGTTTTACTGTTTTGGTTTTATTTAGAAGTCAAATGCTCACAAACACGTGATATAGTTACTTTTGAAAATTATCAACCTTCAACAAAACAAGACGCGTACAATTTCAAATAAATCGGTTCAAATTCAGATCACTCTGATCCACTCCTTGTATTTGAAGTTTAACGTTTTTTGTGGAAACATGCAATTTGATACTCTGCCCTCCCCCCTTAGCCAATCTATTTTTGTAAAGTCACGTGACCAGCACAAACCAGGGTCTTTCCCATAGGTAAGACCCTGGGTACGAGGTTGGATATCGTGTGAAATTAACTTGGAATCTTTCTTAGCACAATAACATATATTAATACGAACTGCATGGAATAATAAATTATTATTCTATGCAGTTCGCCGCCTTTATACTGCACACTGGTATGTAGATTAGTAGATGACTGAAGCGTTATTGCTATGTATAGGTTGTGGACACAGGTCATTAGCTAGTCGCTAGGTGATCATGCGAAATACCTCTCCTCTCGCCTTATAATGCGTCTAGTTTCGAGGCGAGGAATATTCTTGCCTTCCAGTCTTCGATGCACTAACTAGCTAGCTATTAAAGTGCGGTTTAACTTGGCCAGTTGGTAACATAACACCAATATATACGTAACATAACACCATAACACCAATTTATGTACATATATAATTTTGACTCAGAGGTGTTTTCTAGGTATATTGGGTGGCGTGTTCCAGATGATTTCGTTGGGAGTTATTGCAAACCTAGCGTGCGCGTCGTAATATTGATAATTATGACGTCATATGTGTGGTGGTGGGGGGGGGTGTTACTATAAATCATGATAATCCCGTGTATATAAAATGAGGCAGGCTACAAAATAAAATTGAATAACATGCATTTCGATAATTAGATCCATTTAAGGATGATTTACACAAAAAAAAAACACAGCAAAGACACGGGCTTTGGTACTTTATTATAGAAAGGAATCGGGTTTTTCGAATAGGAAGATCGCGAGAAAATGACATATAAGCCCTTCATCAGTAGCAAGAATATAGAGGGAAGACCAACAACCAGCTGCGCTGAGATCTAAACAGTTAAAAGGCAACAACTTAAGGTCGTCCAAGAAAAGTTGACGAGCGACCGTAATTGTCGCTATAGCTTATGGGAAAGGAGTGGTTCTCAAAGTTCCCTATGAGAAAATGAATGGCAATTTCTTTGCAGAGTTCATTGGAAAGCATTTTAATACTTGTTTTGCAAAGTGCGGACGTAAAAAAACGATCGTCCCCTGTTTCTCATCGATAATGACCCATCACAAACGAGTAAAGCAGCGCGAAAAGCAATGGAAAAAATCCAGGCTGAATTTCCTAAGATTCCGGCTACATCGCCTGACCTGAATCCGATTGAAAATCTCTTTCACTTGGTAAAGATAAGTCTCGAGAATGAAGTAATTGCTAATAATATAACGTAAGAAACGTTCCAAGACTTTTCAGCGCGGGTTTTAAAACCCTTGGAAAATCTGTCAACTGATGTAATCGATCGTACTATTTCAAGCCTGTCAAGTCGAGTAGATGCTGTCAAGTTAAAGCAAGAGGAAATCGCATAAAATACTAGGAGTTCTATCTTTTACTGTTATTTATTATATAAAGTACAGTGCTTTATGTACTGTTTAATAAACGAGCAAGAGTGATTTATTAGGTTTAAAGACACGAGCGCGCAGCGCGAGTGGCTTTAGACCTAATAAAACACGACCTGCGAGTTTATTAAACGGCTTCAAACACGACTACAAATTCAATAGATATACCGCCTTATTAGTATTCTTTATATAAAAAATACTAATGAGGGCACAACAACAATAGATACTGCCTTATTAGTATTCTTTATATAAAGAATACTAATTAGGAGTGTTTTATCAGGTTTAAAGCCACTGCACGTGACATATTATACACCCTTTTCATAAATGGCTGCCGATTAAAAATTCTTTTATGTGCATATAAATTAGCCCAACTAGCCTCGCTTCTGTGTAGAAATTCCTTTGAAATCTTAACATGAGTACGAGGCTAGTTGGGCCAATTTATATGCACATAAAAGAATTTTTAATCGGCAGCCTTTTATGAAAAGGGTGTATGGTTGACACGATTTGCCAATAAGCTTATGAATTATTAATGAATGTTTGAAGTGCTATTTAAAAAACGAGCAGGAGTGTTTTATTAGGTTTAAAGCCACGAGCGCGCAGCGCGAGTGGCTTTAGACCTAATAAAACACGACCTGCGAGTTTTTTAAATGACTTCAATGAAGAAACTAATGAAGAAAACCTCCAAAATACAAAAGAATATGGTCTGATGAGTATAGTTTAGCTAAGCTACGATAATGGACGTGGGGGCTTTGAAAGAAGTTTGAATTAAATAAAAGATTGCTACAAGAGCGAAAAGGCTCATTCAAGGAGCACACTTTTAATATACAAGAACATTGACACGCAAATGAGTGGCAATCATTGCCCTTATTACTTATTTCAACTGACCTGATTGCTACATAAAGTTTTATATAATGAAACAAGTTACAATTTCCCCAAATACTTAAATTTCGGGAAACGTTAAATAATTAAAAGGAATCGATTATTAGTTTATTTAACAAATAAGGCAATTGACAAGTAGAGGCGAACGGTTCCGGTCTTTTGGCAGCATGTATATGTATTGGACATTCCAAAAAAAAATGAATACTTTCAATATTTGGTCCACAAATATATTGGCCATTGATTGCAATAAATTTTGTTCAAATAATAGTTAAGAGAGCATGTATTTATCGGTTTAGTTAGACATCAATTAAATTTAAAGAGTACTCAACAGCAAGTTGCTGTCAGCGACGAATTGTTGCAGAAAAGACAGAAATGCCACATGCGTGGTTTATTGTTCAACGACAACGATTCTGAAGAATGGGGTAGACTACGGACAGGAAAAGATGTGGTGGGGTTTACCTTTTTATTTGCCGGACTTCCACATTTCCGTTTTTTACGTTTTCCTGCCACGATCGCATTTTTCGTTCGCTGTTCTTCGAATTCTGGCCCATCCGTAGCCCCTAATTTCTTCAAAGGAGGTTCCTCCATTTCATGTTTTCCGATTTTCTAAATTATATTAAAGAGAGAGCCGTTAAAGCAGCCAGTTGTGCGAAGGTTTCTATATACAACAACCAAGTGTTACAACATTTTTATACGTAATATTGTGAGCTGTGAAGGACGCAAGCGAGTTTTTTCTCCAAATATAGCCATAACAATCTGGCGAGCATCATAATTTGAATGGTTTTTAAAGTCAAAATCCCAAGAATGGCGAAGAGGTCAGATGACAAATATGAAAGGATAACCAATTGCATGCCATAAAGGCTCTGTTACACGAGAGAATTTTTACTGCAAATTGCAACGCAACTTCTGGCGCAGAGCTGTATTACGTAAACCGTATTTACTGGATAATTAAGAACTTGCTGCAAATTTGTTGCTCCACCGACGTTTCCCCTACCTAACATGCCACAGAGGCATGAAATAAATATAAGAGTGATAAAAATCAGAAAGTGAAATGGCTCCATGATAACGAAATTAACTAGATGTTACTGTTCAAAATACCAAATCACTTTAGATGTTAGGATAATATATTTTTCAAATAATTTTATTTAATAGATGAAATATTTGAACCCTGACCTTGATCAACTTCTTGGCTGTACTCAGGGAACGCGGAACCGTGGGGGGGGGGAAGCAATGGAGGCATGTACCTCCCCACGTTTTTTAAAAGTGAAAAAAGTGCCCTTCTTTCTGGTCTAAAATGCCCCATTTAACGAACGAAAAAGTATTTTTTGAATGAACGCCCTCTTTTGCTGGAAAGAAAGTGCCCTTTTTGTAGTAGTAAAGACTCTGTAAAGGCCGTTTCAGACGTTATATAGATTTATTAGTTATATAGATGAATTTTGTTCGGCTCGTGAACGACAGAAAATCGTTGGATAATGGTCATATACAAAAGTGTCTCTTTTGGCCAATGCCCCTCCACTTTCGAAATTGCTTCCGCGGCCTCTGGCTGTACTTCGAAGGATTTTGTATTTCTCCTTAACTGTATCGGCTTGGTCTTGATCGAATCGCAAACGAGCGTCGCAATTTTCGAGGTAACGTTTCCTTCTTTTTCATCAATTTCAATATTCCGCCAGTTATCCATGGTAGAGGTCCAGGCATTATTAATGTCAGAAGTGCTATCATTTGTCATCCAATCAAATTGCAACGGTTCCATAGCCCGACTCATTCCCAAGTCCGCACGCTTGTAGTCATAAATTGTTTTTGATTCTGTGAGACGTTTGAGATTTTCGGTATCTCCACTAGGTATGACCGCGTTTTCAGACCATGAGACTCTTGGAAAGATAAAGTCACCACTGATCATAATTTTGTTGTTGGTACGATTAGCCCAGTCTAGGAATTCTTTGAAAGAGTGAAGGCATTTCCGAGTAGAATTGGGAGCTCTGTAGCAGCATACAACAAGAGTCGGCGGGTCTCTGCCCCAAATACATTTGACACAAATAATTTCAGGTTCAGAGAATTCATCAATAGCTACTTGCTTGACATCAATAAAAGACGAGTCCTTTGAAGCGATAAGAACACCACCTCCAGTTTTGCATTTCCGGTCTGTACGAAATACGTGGTAGGTGTGAGATGGGAGGTAGGTACGGTAGCTGAAAACTGTATTTTACTACGCTGACCATTGCAGCGATACATAGCTGATTTCCAGGGGGAAGGGGGGTAGATATTAAAAAATCAGATTACGTAATCAAATAGAAATTTAGTTATAATACAGACACTAGAATAACAACATGCAAATAATTAGAGATACAAATATAAAGACAAATATCATAAATTAAGGAAATATAGAATTTCGATATATACATAGCAAAATAAATAAATAATTAACTAATTTGGCCAGGTGTTACGATACTGGTTTTAAAGGCTGCCAGCAATTCATTATTTCGTAAATCATCTGAGAGCTATTCCACAGTTTAGCCCCTCTATAGCTAAGACTCTTTTTAAAGATAGTCAGTCTTAGGTTGGGGCAAATAGAGTTTAGTGGAAGAACCTCTCAAATTGTAATGCCGGGAGGAAGGCATTTCTCGGCCGACAAAATGGCACACGGCGATTCGCGTTTTACCTCATCGCAAGCAAAAGCTGACGCATTCAATTCCTACTTCGCATCCGTGTTTCGACCGAATACACCATCTACCTCGGCGACAGATCTACCACCTGTGAACAGCACGGATGCCGTTGGTCTGGAGTCTATAACAATTTCTGTTGAAGAGGTTTGCTGTTTGTTGTCTGGTCTTTGTACCACCAAAGCCACTGGTCCTGATGGAATATCAGCGACATTGTTGAGAGAATGTGCGAAAGAACTGGCGCCATCTTTAACTGAACTTTTCGCAATGTCGCTTGCCCATGGCAAAGTTCCTAGCGAGTGGAAACGAGCAAACGTCGTTCCAGTACCAAAGAAAGACGATCCAAGTGAAATCAATAACTATCGTCCGATTTCACTTCTCTGTATAATCTCTAAAGTTCTCGAGCATATAGTCCACAGGCAAGTTTATGAATTCATCAAACCATCGCTCCACGATCTTCAACACGGTTTCCGTCCAAACAGATCCTGCATAACCCAATTACTGGAAGTACTTCAAGATATTGGTAAGAACCTGGATTCTGGAAAGACAACCGATGTCGTTTACTTAGATTTCTCGAAAGCTTTCGATTCAGTCTCCCATCCAAATCTTATTCAGAAACTTCGAGATCACGGTATATCTGGCCCTTTGCTCAACTGGTTTTGTGACTACCTTAGCTCAAGGAAACAACGTGTTGTGATCGATGGCGTGTCATCATCTTTTCTCGAAGTAACTTCAGGCGTCCCGCAAGGTAGTGTAGTTGGCCCACTGTTGTTTATCATCTATGTAAACGAAATACCGGACGAAACCACTCACAGCAAGACACCGATGTTTGCTGACGACAGTAAATGCTACAGACAAATTACCTCGACTGATGACGAACAATTGCTCCAACGCGATATTAACTCACTTCAAGAATGGTCTGTCAAATGGGAACTTAGTTTTAACGTGCAGAAATGCAGCGTGATGCGGTTTACAAGGAAGAAAAATATTATGCCAGCCAATTACCACCTTGCTAATGAAGAAATAAAGAGTGTAAATATCCAAAAAGACCTCGGGATATTCATCAGTGATAACTTAAAGTGGTCAAATCAGATTGCCCATGTGCTTGCTAAAGCCAATCGAATGTTGGGATTCTTAATACGGCATTGTACACAGCTCACCAACATCCACTGCCGTCGCCTGCTATATCTAACATTAGTAAGATCTCACCTGTCTTACGGCAGTGAGATTTGGTCACCCCAAGGATCATCGCGAGACCTCGACACCTCGTTCTAATAGAAGGCATTCAAATACGGGCAACAAAGTTCATCACGCAAGACTACCATTCCTCGTACTCTTCCAGATTGAAAAGTTTAAATTTACTGCCAATCTCCTACTGGTTTGAAATTAAAGATCTAACATTTTACTATAAATGCAAATCTGGTGGCTACGAAGTAGATATAGAGCAATATTCCACTCAACCTTCCCTTCACACTACTCGTTTCAGTTCATCCGACCTACGCCGACCTAACCTTTGTAAATCCTCAACCTTCAGATCATCCTACTTTAACAGAATAATACTACTATGGAATAATCTGCCTAGTCATATCAAGTCATCGAACTCTTGCGCTATATTCAAATCCAAACTATATACTCATTATCTTAATAAACTAAACTCGGACTTTGATGTTGAGCATCCAAGGACATGGAAAACTATTCAGTTGCTTGAAATGCCGCTCGAGCAATATCATCTGCTGTTCGTAGCTGGTCTGGTGTTAAATAGCGAGGTTTTTGGGTTTGACTTCCACTACCATCATCACCACCTCGCGCTGACCTAGTTTGCATGTAAGTGGTTAGTGGTTCCAACTAGTGATGATGGTGGTGGTGGTCAAATCTGAACCTCGCAAATAATTTTGATAGTGTAGTGTTTATTCTTGCATGTTTATATTGTAAAATACGTGTTGTTAGGACTAAAGTCTGGTGTAAAATGGCTGGACTCACTTTTGACTTCCATTACCGCTATCACTACCTCGCGCTGACCTGGTTTGCATGTAAGTGGTTAGTGGTTTCTAACTAGTGGTGCTGGTGGTGGTGGGGGTCAAAACTGAACCTCACAAATAATTTCACAGAAGTGTAGTTATGTATTTATTCTTGCATGTTTTATATAGTATAAAGGCCTGCAAAATCAGTATTTACGTTGTCCAGTTTGCAGTCCGTAATATGTCGTGTTTTAGTGTTAGATGGATGGACTTAGTATGGGATTCTAGTTCTGTTGTCCAATCCGTCAATCATAGCTGTATGTGTTTTTTTTATATAATATGATTGTAAAGTTAATAAAAAAAAATAAAAAAATAACGTGTTGTGATCAACATGAGACTTTGGTTTTCTGACCGCCCCAATTCCGGATAAGATCTTTTTGGAGATTTCTTCAATGTGCTTATTCCAAGATAAAAATTCATCAATATAGACCGAAGTGCCTTTGTTTCTTTTACCCTTTTAATTGGTATGTCGCCGACATACACTTTGGGAGCGAGAGATAAGTTATTGATATTATGCCTAGATCCGATTAATAGCTCAGTGTTCAGTTTTGACATGATTTCGAGATCATTTATTTGCAGAGAGCCATTGTTTGACATTTTGCAAGGTCATGATTGATGGCCACTTCTGCATCAGAAATTGTTTCGCCTGAGGCAGTTGTTGTATCGTCAGCAAACATTCTTGCCGACGAATATTCCAAACTGTCTGGTAAATCGTTTATATAGATTAAGAATAGAAGTGGGCCAAGAATGGAACCTTGAGGAATTCCACACCTGACTATCTTTGTACCGGATAATACACTGTTAACTGAGCACATTTGTGTTCTGTTAGTTAAATAACTTTTTAGAAGATGTAAGGCTGGTAATTCCATGCCATACATATCAAGTTTCTTTAGTAAAATATCAAAAGTATCAAAAGCTTTTAGTATCAAAAGCTTTTTGAAAGTCAAGAAATACTGCGATGTTAATTTTACCACGATCGAGGTCCATATTAACAAACCATTCATTTGTGCTATCTAAAAGGGCAGATGCTGCGGAATGAAACTGTCAAAAGCCAAATTGACGATCAGATAGCAAATTTGTATTAAAGCGGTTTGTATTAAACCCATACCTAATTTTAGTGTTCAGTGCATGATAACCAATTAGGCAGTGATAAAAGTAAAATGTACAGTGATAGAATCTAAAATGTGCAGTGATAAAATTTGCTGTGATAAGCTGTCACAAGAAAATGAGCAGAAAAACTGAATTAAAAATTCGTCTTGACATTTGAATGAAATTGAAATGATAACTGCCAAATTATCCAACGTCCGCACTAATATTATAGTTAAGGTTCATCAGATGAACAAAGTTTCCCACCAAAGATCTCATTATGAGTTTGGAAAATGCAGTGAATGATACTTGAATGCATGTTGAGATGTTTGCAGAGCGCGCTTGTGCTCGGCTAAACTTTGCACAAAAATGTGCAGTGATAAAGCATTCTTAAAATGAGACACGATTAAACCATTCAAGCAGTGACATGCAAAATACACTGTTAAATTAAAATATTTTGCGCAGATGTGCAGTCAGCGGAAGTTTCAAAAGTTCACAGCATTCACTTTGCAATTCCATCCATATGCATGTTTTTATTTCACATTTTCTTTTAATTTAATTTCTTTCCATGACTCGTCTCCTTGCTTTCCAGAAGCATCACACTCTTCACCTTTCTCAATTGAGCTTAAGTTCTTCTATTTTTTTATATAAACTATTTGAGGTTATCGTTGTAAAATCAACATTGTTACCATAGATCTGGTTATTAAACGAATGTGCAAATAACTATTCTTTTTTTTTACTATATGTTTAAAAGCTTTAATCGCTACAGTCAAAAGATGAAGTCAAGTCTGCATTTTCAGCTGTTTTCTTGCTCGCAAAGAAAACAAACCTGTACAACGGAGGCGCTCCCAGTTCACCAATTACACTGCAACATGTATTTTATACATGCATTAATTACACGATATCTCTCACACGATGGATTGGAAACTAAATGACACAGGTAAGGGCTTCGTGAAAAAATGCTGACTCGGTGTTCTATACCTTAAGCATATACCTGTTCACACCAGTTGCAGGAGGAACAAATATCTACAAACCTGCTCAGCTTTCTCGGGTGATTTCATCCAATTGAATCCCTGCGAAGTGGCTTCATTTTGGACAACATCTACAACGCAATCATCAAGCTTTTCTGGAAGAATTTGATCTTTATTTAATTCACTTTTAGGTTTCTTTTCTCTCACCCAGATCACAATAGCAAGTTGATCTATCTCCTTGCCTTCAATCCTCTTATAATCTATATCAACGGCGGTAACATTTGGCTTTTTTATAAGATCTTCGAAATGCTGCTTTTGCACCTCTTTTAGTTTTTTTCTTTCTTCGGACTCACTGAGAACCTTTGCTTTAATTTCTTCCGGTGTTAATGACGACCATACGGTGTTACCTTCGAAATCTTGCGCTGGCTTTGATATCTAACAAACGAAATACAAGCAATTTCACTAATTGGTATCGTATAAAAAATCTGAATAGACAAAGCTCGGAAGGTTGATCTGTATGATAAGTAGACGATCTGACGCAAATGCTTTATTGTAGTTTGAATTTGAACTTATTCAGAAACAGACTTTGCAAACAATACAGGTTGAAATACGTTTACGGTTTACAATTTTTGGTGAATTTAAAACTCACAATACGTTTTTCTTAAAGAGTCTCAAACACAATTTAAGGGCCAGCCCTGTTTATGTGGAAGCCGGGCTGATCCGCTTAGCGAGACAGCCAGGTAAGCAAGATCGATGAATTCTCTTGCGTTTATATGAGAAAATTTTGTCCCGCTTGCCGGGACAATTTTGTTGTTTTGAATTGTTTTGACAGTTGTTAAAAATAGCTTGCAGCGGTATCTTTGAACTTTCATCCCGGCAATCGGGTCAGCCTGCTTGTGAGTGCTTTTATGGAGAAATTTCCATCGCAATAAGCGAGATTTCGCCTCTTTAATTCAAGCGAGAGCTAGGCAACCGAACCCGCCTCGCTTGTCCACATAAACGCACGATAATTTTTACCACAAAAATAACTACACAGCGATATCTTGCTTACCGGGCTGTCACGCTTAGCGGGCCAGCCCGGCTTCCATATAAACAGGCCCTAAGTTTGGTTATCAAAGAATGCTGCACAGAAAAATCCTGATTCTTATTTTAGGAAGTTAATTATTTATTTTAATTTCATTATTACTTAGAACAAGCAAAACACTACCTGTCCGTATAGTGAGAAAGTTTTTACTTACCAAGAATTGATTAAAATTCTTAATAAGAAATATTTTTCTTAACAAGTAATCAAGTGCTTGAAATGAGAATTTTAATACTTATTTCAAGAAAATAATTATTAGTTTTAAGAATATTAATTGTTTTTGTTTGTGGAAACACCACGTAAATTTATTACTGCAGTAATAAATTTACGTGGTGTTTCCACAAACAAAAACAATTATATTTTATCGCCATGCAAACATTCAAAGAACTTATTTTAAGAATATTATTACATAAATCTAGTAAAAAAATACTTTTCCGTCCAATTTATAGAATGTTTTTACTTATACCAAGAATTAAAATACTTAGCAAGAACATTTTTCTTAACAAGCAATTTAGTCCTTGAAATGAGTATTCTAATTCCTATTTCAAGAAAACAATTACTATTTTTAAGAGTGTTATTATAAGTCCTGGTCAAGTACATACTGACAAAGATTTCTGGAAATTTTTCCATGCAGGGCATTTAACTATGGACATTAATTCAATCCAATGCTTGAACGAACGATTAATACATTTATTTTATAGAAAACAAGACTTATTGACATAATGATTAACGGTATTCCCCTTTAATACCAACCTCGTTCCCAGGGTTTCTCCTCTTAGGAAAGAAAGACCCTGGTTGCGGCTGATCGCGTGTCTCTTCAAAACCGATGTATTGCCTAAGGGGGACTGCTAGAAAGGTAACAAATTACATGCTTCCACATGACATAAAAAGTTTACACTTCAGTTGCAAAGAGTGGGATGATTTAAAATACTTGCTAAATTTTTGTTTATTTTTCTTTGGCATTACAGTTTTCTAATCATTTTACTATCAAAGTCAAGTGAAGCTGTTGTTATGCTCTTTCCAACTTTTCTTTGTTTCTCAGCGATGCTTTGAGTCGTCGTCGTTCAATTTCGTCGTTCCCATATTTATGTCTACTATGTTTAAACATGCCGTTATTTTTGTTGTTGTTTACCAACATTAAAGCTTTACGGCAATTTACTTGTTAGTCGTACAGTAGGTTTTACAATAAGATGCTCGAATCCAAATGTGACTACATTATGTCGAGCCCAGACTACATCATGTCGAGCCCAAAATGCGAGCCATGGCCCATGTGATTTTTCTTAGTTTGAAATTAAACGATATTTTGATTTTATGTTGTATCGTAGGTACGAAGCAGGGTACAAAAATTTTCAGTTTTTCATGGGAGTGTACAAAATATTAATTGCCGAACTGGATGTGTGCCTTTCCTTTTGAGCAAATTTATATATAACAATATATAAATTAAAGTTAATGAGACAACACGTTTGTCACCTTCAAACCTGGTTATAATCTCATAGTGACAGGATAAGTTTGTCAACAGCCACAAAAAGGCGATATCGAATAGGCCAAAGTTCAAATGTTTCCCTGGGCACATGTACCGAATGAAAGATCAACTGGCCAATCCTATGTCAAGAACGAGCACGCAGAACAAAGGTTAATGTGATGAGGGAGTTTTATTTGACAAATATCCAAACAAATAGCAATGTCTTGTTACCGAGAAAGAAAATTTACACCCACCCACTCGTTCATGTTCCTGGTATCTGGTGCATTGTATGGGTACTAACTAATATTATGCGAGGACTATGAAGAACAATTTGTCAAGAAAGACTATCGAACAATTTTCTCATGGAAAATTATCGCTATGTAAATACTTAAATTGGTTTATGTTGAAACAAATAAATTTTGGTTCGGGGTTCAAGTGTTTCCAATGGTCAACTTCAGGCCGATAGACTCAGGTTATTTATGTATTAAATATAATCAGTCGAATCGTAGGTACTGTCCAAGGGGATTATCACCCCTTGGTTCAGGTCTATGTCATAAGGGGTCGCTACCAGTCTGACAGGGCTCTATATCGGGGATTATTACCCCTAGGGCATCCAGTTTCTCCTAGCAGGTCTTATATATACCACTGCGGGATGAAAGCATAGGGGTTAATGAGTTTTTGGGTTGACCAGAGTGTGAGAGCATAATGTATATAATTGGTTCACTTCACCCTGAAACCATTCTCCCACAATTATTTTGTGTACGTTTTACTAATTTTCGGGCTGTTCTTTCACCTAACGTGCTTGAATCATTAATGGTAGTTTGTAAAATACTACTAGTACAATATGTAGTCTGGCTTATTGCGTTTTTCTCGACCTTCGTCAAGCCTCTTACCCTGGTTCCATAGGGACCATAGGCTTGTAAAAGCCACTTATTTTCAAGCGTGAAACGGGATAACATATTTTACAACATATCTTTTTCTAATATATACTTTTTATTACGAATATGCACAAACGTGCACAATATTAAATAATCCTTGACATAACACTATAACGGTATTAAAGTGCACATGACATGAAAATTTCTCCCCAATTTTTTATGTATCACTTAAAAGTACCTTGAAAATTATGAAGAATGGCCTTAATTTATTCACAGCTCATCTCATTCCCAAGTTATCGCGCATTTTGTATTTTGTGTTATGACATCACTAGTTGTGCTTAGGACGCCAGCAAAAAGAATGAAGTCTAATATATATCTCAGAAGCGATTCAACGAAATTAAATCAAATTTGGTACTGTTAGTAAGTGCAACCTAAACTAACATTTTGGAACGTTTATGTGGTTGTCATAGCAACGCACTAGTTACCAAGTCCCTCTTTTCTTATTTTAGTAACGGCTGCTGTACACACTTTGGAACAAAAATTTTATTTAATTCAATATAGTTTATATTTACCACAGCACCTATGAAAACTATAATAATAAATGAGAATCGCAAAATTTCCTCTCCTTTTTGTTGGAAGCAAAGATTTGGACAAAGAATTGGACAAAGAATTGGTACACTTTCAGATCATTATATAATTCAACCTCGTTCCCAGGGCTTTCTTATTAGGTCGAGGCTAGGCACGAGAAAGCCCTGGTCTGGGCCGGTCAATTTTGCATTTTGATTGGCTAACACCATATTGTCTAAAAATAACTGAACTTGACAGTTGACAGTATTAACAATTCAACATTTGTAATTTTTATGATTCTTGTGTGTACGAGAATGTTTTGCAAAATAATCTTTCGAAGTAAGACGTTTTCTCGACTGCATGATTTACTTTCGCCTCGGCCGGTTACAAAACTCAAAAGCCGTGTCGACGTGAGCTGTGATGTTTCCTGACAAAACAAGAAACGTCTACTATTATTTAAGCTGTAGTTTTCCTTGTACAGTATTTATAATGTAGTGCAGATGTCTGATGAAATACTACGCGTATTACATTGTAGTAATATTTTAATTTACAATATTCTGTACTGACAAATAAAAGCAAGACAAACAATTAAATAATACTAAATTAATTTAGGCCCCGTTTAATACTTTATAATAGCTCTACGCCTAGGCCGATGTAGTGTAGTCTCTACAAAATTCGTCACGCCACCGAGTTTTACAGTTTCAGAATACTCCGAATACTTGAAAATTGCTACTATACGACTATTAAAAATAAAACAAAGATTGTGACGGCGATAAAATTTGTAGGCAAGCATTGCTCCTGAACGGCAACTGCAGTTGGTGTCCGGCGAAACAAGCGAATCCGTATATTCCTGTACAGCGTAAACAGGTTACGCGAGGTTTTATATTCGTGTTTACTTATATTGAATTAAGTCAGATCTATAAGAGCATATTTAAACTAAGTATTAATAGCAATAGGTCATACTGTTCAAGACGAGAGAAATCAAATTTCGTGTGAATCACAACTTGCATGGAGACGCCTATATCCAGCTTGGATGCAGCTTTGTCTGTGGTTGAAAATCACCAGAAATATCGGTATATCTTAGAAAACATAGACGGGGTCTTCAGAGATTTCAGCTGATTCGTGCCAAACTTCGCTCTACACATCAAAAGTATATTCCTCGGTTTGTTTAAAGGTATATTTGTCAAAAGCATTTGATACTATTAATCACAAGATTCTGGCTCAAAAATTAGAGCATTACGGCATACGTGGAGTTACTCAACTATGGTTTGACAATTATTTATTTAACAAACAGAAAACAAATTGTCAAGTACAATCAAACTAGGTCAGAAGAAGTGACAATTAAAACAGGTGTCCCACAGGGTTCAATTCTTGAACCAATTTTATTTTTACTTTATATAAATGATATTGAACATAGTAGCAATTTACTTTCGTTTATACTGTTTGCAGATGATACTAATATCTTTTATAGCAACAGCTGTCTTAAATCACTAAATAAGGTCATACAAGAAGAGGTGAATAAAATTGCAGAATGGTTAAATGCAAATAAACTATCTCTAAATATCAAAAAAACTAAATATATTATATTCAGATCTACAAATAAGAAATTAAAACAAGATGTAAAAGTTAGCGTAAATAATGTAAACATAGAACATGTCAAATGCACAACCTTTCTTGGTATAACAATTGATGAGTATTTGACTTGGAATAACCATATAACTGACGTATCAAAGAAAATCACAAGAGCCTCGGGAATAATAGCAAAAATAAGACACTTGATAAACAGAAATTCACTGAAGCTAATTTATTACACATTAGTGTATCCATATCTTATTTATGGCAACTTGATTTGGGGTAATACCTACAAAACCCGAATTTAAAAAATATTGAATATTAAAAAAAATTGTGCGTTTGATAACTTTTAGATCTTACTTGGAACATACAGAACCTATATTCGAAGAATTACGCATTTTAGATATTTTCAAAATAAATGATTACCTAACTGCTTTGTTTATGTATCGATACTATTATCTTAAAAATTTACCAGAAGCATTTGAAAATTATTTTGTAACAAACAATGAAATTCATAACTACAATACAAGAAATGCAACAAAACTACACAAGTGTTGTAAAATAACTAATTATGTCATACATATACTCTTTCTAACAAAAGGGTTAATCTATGGAATACATTAGATACAAAATTCAAAAGATTAAACTCTTACAATGTCTACAAAAGATTAATTAATCAAACAACATGTTATAGTAAGCTAGATCTTCTTCAACTTATATGCAATGACCACAGATATACAGCAACCGTTAATTATATAGCGAAAATTGTGTAATCTTGTATAACTTGTAAACTGTATATTATGATATAATATCCTTCTTTTGTAAATAGTATATACTTTTAGGTCTTACTTCAATAATTACTCTTCACTGTAAATATATGTGCAAATTTTTTTTACAAACCTAACTAGTGGCCTACATTAAAAAACCTGAAAAGGTTTCCAGTAGGTCTCTAGCCCAACACCTTCAAACTACATATAGTTTTTGTTACTTATTATTGTACATACACATGGGAAATAAATATATGATTGATTGATTGATTGATAAATAATATCGATTGAGAAGTCTTTTGGCTGTTTATTTGTTTCGAAGACTTGTATATTTCATTAAAGAATATCTCGCCACTCCTTGACGAGTAGCTGTCAAATACTGCCAGTTTTTGGGGAGTCAAGTGACCGGCCCAAACCAGAGCTTTCTTGTGCCTCGCCTCGTCCTCATAAGAAAGCCCTGGGAACGAGGTTATATATAATTCGAATTTGTGTGAATTTTCGCTAGATGACATTAAGTATTTCAGGAAATATAAACAAAACACTGCGTGATTGTCCATGGCGATGTCGCCATTTTGACAGAATTTGTAATTTCGGCATAATTCGCACATCAATATATCGTTTATCACTCAACATATAAAGACAAAAATTGGTAGAGTAATAAATCTGAGACTGCTCTTCTAAACCAATACATCGTTTAATGTATGTGATGAAGGATGTCGTAAATAACGGGGGATCAACATACTGGCAGAATGGAAAAATACAAATTCGTCGTAGATTTGAACCATAATATCTTGGAAGATATCTGTCTAGATACATTCATGTTATCCACACATAAAAACAAGCCTTCAATGAATTTTTGTTAGCAATAATAGCCCATTATAATTAGTTAGACGTTAAAAATACCGATTTAAATTGCGGCAATTTTTGGATGTGTCTTCTTTTCGACGAGGGAAATAAGCATGTGGGACTAATCGGACAAACCCAAAATTTCACTGTGTAAAAGTAGATGTTATGCTAAACCTGCGGTCAAAATTTCGTTCCTGTTCTTGGACTGGTTCGATATTTGCGAGCGATTCAAAATTGGTGTTTTTCACTAATTGAATTCATTCAAATGTAAACAAACAAATTATTATTATAAATTAATAAATAATAGTGATTTATTAACTAAATTGACATTTATGTCAATTTCACCAAAATAGGCGAAAGTCATACAGCATATCGCCAAAATATTGCAAATGCTGGAACGGAACATACTGTATTTCTATGACTATCTCTGTACGACTATATGAAGCAGTACTGATCGACTACTTCTTTATAAATAACAATTACACAACGCGTCCAATTTGTACGTACACACGCTGACACTAATTAATTATATACCTCGAATGGCAAGCAAGCTTGAACCTTGTTCAATAGGTATTTTACTCGGCTCAACTGAAGATTGCCACAAGACTACTTACGCAAGGAAAGTTGGAACAAATAAGTTGGCGGCTCTACCGGCAGACGACGTCGAACTAATTGTACGAAGCTAAGGAGCGGTTTACTGAAAGGCAGAAAATGACAGCGTTATCTGTTTTCATCATGAAATGGTTTATTTACGCAAGTATGAATATTTGCAAAAAAGTTGTTGTGATCCCTTTCAATTGCATCCAACAACGGCAAGGAAATAGCCTTTATGCATAAAAGATATTGAAAACGCGGACAAAATTAATAAACTCGTTGTGAAAGATATCAAGCCTGGTCAAAAGCTGTGCCCAAAATGTTCATCTCATCTTTGAAGCATCGATGAAAGTTGCATCGAAGAAGATGAAGAGTATAAGCCTGAAGTCGAGGACGGATTACATAATCTTGCCGCCAAATTTAGTTCCCTTGGTTGCACTCCAGTTAAGACTAAATTCGCACAGAGAGACCGTGTTGTGTATGCCAAACGAAAGGCTCAAGAAGCGCAGACGGCTATTACTGACGAAGTTGCTCGTCGTTTAAATGCTGACTCCAATGAACTTCAAACGTGTCAAAAGTGCACAGACCTTGACGCAATTATAGAAGGGATCAAAGAAAAATGCTCCACTTCAAACATGGAAGCCACACTAAAACTTATCACTCTCGCGCCGCCTTCTTAGACAATAGAAAAAACTGCGAACGTGTTCGGGGTATCTAAGTTCATGGTCAACAAAGCTCGGAAATTGAAAAAGGCGAAAGGAATTTTACCCGATATAAGTCCAATAAAAACAAGGAAACTGTCGGAAGAAAGCAAAACGAAGGTAATCGATTTTTACAACGACGACGAAGTATCGCGAATGTGCCCAGGGAAAAAAGACTTCGTTTCCGTTAAAAATTCAGAGGGAAAACGAGTCCATGTTCAAAAGCGACTCTTGCTTGCTAATTTACGTAAACTGTATTTGCACTACATAGAAAAATCAAGTGGTGAACACGTTGGATTTTCCAAATTTTGTGAACTTCGGCCATGTTGGTGTATTACCGTTGGAGCGAAAGGTATGCATTCGGTATGCGTCTGCGAATACCATCAAAACGTGAAGTTACTGCTGGATTCTCTCCCTGGTCCAAAACTTGATCATAAATCCTTAATGGCGAAACTTGTTTGCGATGTCAGTGAAAGACACTGCATACTTCATCGGTGCCAGAAATGTCCAGGTTCTGACAGTCTCAGAGAACACCTTCAATCTGTCTTTTTAGAACGTTCAATCGGACGTGCAATAGACACATACAGATGGCACAAGACTTATCACAAGACAGGAACTTGCGTATGACCTCTTGGAGCAGATCGTTTTGCAAATTAACGCTCTAACCAGCCATAGCTTCATCGCGAAGGCACAAGCAGCCTACCTTGCACAGCAAAATGAGTCGTTAACTCGAGGCACTGCGGTTGTTTTGCTCGATTTCGCAGAAAACTACTCATTTGTTGTTCAGGACGCTGTTCAAGGTTACTACTGGGACAACAGTCAAGCTACACTGCATCCACTAGTTGCCTATTATCGGAAAGAAGATGGCAATCTCGGTACGATCAGTTTCTGTGTGGTCAGTGATTGTCTGAAGCATGATGCTACAGCTGTGTACGCATTTATCAGCGTTATCATTACTCATCTCAAGAAATTAATTCCAGGTCTTTGGTTGGTGAGGTACTTCAGTGATGGATCCGCCAGTCAGTACAACTAGGGATCCAAGGATAGTGTGAAGTTTCGAATTGAAAAAGACACTGCAAGAACTATATATGGTCGCCGACAACCTAGAAAAGCTGATGGCTTACATCTCATTATTTATTGCTTTTAATACGCTCGGCATACGAGTAGCGTGACGTTTGAAACAAGCCTAACACATAAGAAACTTGCCTTGTGAAACTGATGCAATTCATCTATTTATTGTGATGCTACACGATGCTAAATTTTCATTTGTATTTGCAGCTGTCGCTAAAAGCTCCCCACGAGGCTACTGCTATGCTAAATTTATCTAAAACTATAATTGAAATAGCTGTATAAGATATGTTATGAATAATAAGCACTACGTCGTTACATCATTAAAAGGACGCATTTTATTCTCATCCGTTCCGTATTCTATCCGCATATCCGTTCCGTGGATCCGCTCCATCCGCTTCCGCATTTTAACCTAATTGTGACATGCTTCACAATAACAAGTTTCATTGACCTTTGACTTTTCCAGTGTCACGTCTATTTTCAGCTTTTCGCATGTGTTGAATAATGTCACTTTAGATTTCAATAGTTTTACAATTAAGCAGTGTTTAAAGCAGTTTTGACAAGCTTTGAACAGTTCTGTTTACAGAATACTACAGATTGATTCTCGTAAAATCTGGTAGAGTTATCGTTGCACTGAACAAGAGTTTACACCGTTGACAACGGCGTTGTGCTAGACAGTAAACAAAGACAAGGCCCGTGACGGTACACGTTGGCTACATGTACCTCCTTGCTTTTTTTTTCTATTGCATAAAGCTTGTTGGCGAGCCAAGTGATTGGCGATAACACGTTGGTGATAACGCGCATTGGCTATCTCCTCGTCTTTCTTATTTAATTAAGGAGCTCTGACTCGCAAGTTATTTTCTTCGTAAACGCCGTACAAACGTTTACCCGCTTCTGTTTAATAGTTGTTTCGCTCTTTGTACTGAGCGTAGCCATCTATTCTGTGATGTATATACCTTATACAGTCAATGACAGTGTATAATGAATACACGTTCTAAATAATATCGATGGGCACTTAATTGAATACCGGTAATGCACAACATATTAATACTACATAATAGTATTATGCGCGAATCAAATCGAAACCTTGACATCCCCCCCCCGGGCATACCTGGGGAATTTGCTTGTTTAGTACTTTAAGAAGGCGGGAATTTGACCTTTTTTTCTAGTGGAAGGTGGGGAATTTGAACCTGGGTCGGGAATTTGAATTTTTCTTTTAAACACGTGTGCAGAATCCAAAATGGCGTCAATAATTAATGGATGAGTTCAAGGTCTTCAAGTGCAAAGGAATTAACTTTGTCCTTGGTTGGCTACAAGAAAACGGCTTTGAACGATTGAAGAGAGTTTTTGAAGGAAAGAAAAACTTTGAAATTCCAAAATTGCGAAATGCTGTAGCTTCCAATTCGTACATGGGGTGGGGCATTTGAACTCCAATTTTTCCCAATACGTGGTGTATTTGAACGGGAATTACAAATATATGTAGGGAATTTGACCTGACCAAAACGTCAAAATCCAAATTCCCGGGGGTATGCCCGGGGGGGGGATGTAAAGGTTTCGATTTGATTCGCGCATTATTGCGTAGAATCTCAAAGGACAAAGATTTTCTCAATATTCATGTCTGAAATGTTCATATACTTGAAAACAACACTGTCTCGCTTCTGCCTACGTATACTGTACCTCTGTATAACGAGTATGCCGTGAAAATAATATCGGCACTCAATTGAATGCCTAGAATCTCAAAGATTTTCTCAATATTTACGTCTGAAATGTTTATACATTTGAATAACACTGTCACGTCGCTCCTTCCTAGCTCTGTATATTAATGAATATACCGTCCACATATATCAGTACTTGATTGAAAGACCGTCATGCATAACATAAATTTATATATTGCGTAGATTCTCAAAGATTTACTCAATATTCACGTCTGAAATGTTTAAATTAATACATTTGAAAACAACACTGTCGCTCCTTCCTAGCATCGTGATCTACGGCTTCATAGCGCATGCGCATTTGCCCTGCTATAGAAAAAATCGGGTGTTCCGGGGGGAAAGATCCTTTACACAACATGAGAAGCGAATGTTCTGAAATTACAAAAATTTACAATAACGACAACGATTCCTCGAAATTTTTGTGAGCTTGGCAAAAGGACAAAAGAATATTTAAAGAAAATAAATAAAATTGCTTAAATAACCTTCAAAGCACTGATTAAGTACAATAAATCACCGCGAACATAAATCGTATACAC